GCGGGGGCGGGTATGGGGGTGGGGGCGGGGTGGGTATTAACATCCCCGTCCCCGCTCCCGCTCCTGATTTTATCAATCGAGGAAAATCCAAACTCGATAAACACAGGTTTTCCCCGTCCAAATCAGGGCGGGTTCAGACGGTTACTCACGGGGACGAGTTAGATTGCCATGCCTATTTACACGAACAATATATATGTATAAATAAACGGAGCGACTATCATATGAAAAAAGAAAAAGAAAAAAGCTCTGTTTATTAAGGTTTGATTTTTCCTCGACATAAGTGATAGGAGGAAATTAAACTCCTATACTAATAATATGACTTGTTTAATAAAAAAAAAATATATGACTTGGTTGATAATTTTTGATTTTCTTAAAAGTTTTAATATCCATTAATTGTGATATGATTTATTTTTTTCAAAGATATATGAATATGATCAATGCTCGACAATTAAATGCATAATAAGAAGTTGAGAAAGGATAAACTATAAACACCGAATTTTCATAGTCCATATTAAGGGCCCAGTCAAATTTGGGTTGGGGTGCCTTTCTTTGTGTGCTTTCCTGTACACCAATCGTCTTTATATTTTACTAGATGGTCTTATTCTCTTAATTTCGTTCAAGTTTCTTCTATAAAAATTGAGAAATATAATTAATATGATTATTTTCTTAAATTTATTTATTTTTAATTTTACAATAATTATGCTAAAATAATTAAAAATTAGAAGAAAAAATATTAATTTGATAAATTGAAATATAGTTAAATATCATGTACTCACACATAAGGCGACAATGTATTTAGTGAAAAATTTCGGGTTTGATTTTTACTACCTTAAATTATACGAATTGAAAAATCTAATTGAAAATTGAATTATATATGTGTTTAGTCGAACTTTTGTACTTTGTTTTCAGTCTTCAAACGTTTTTTTTAATTAGTTTTAGTTAATAAATTTTTGTCAACTTTTATTTTTAATCTTAAATTATTTTTCTTTACAGTTTGATATCTGATGGTTAATTTTTTTTTTTTTACAAAAACAAATTTTAGAGGCATAAATTAAATAAAATGTGTTAAAAAAATCAACAAATGTTGACGTTTAATCCTTAAAAATTAACATATCTATGGAGGTGTTTGCAAGAGAGAGAGATGATAACTGCGGAATTATTACGTATTGGCGGCATTTATGTTTATGAGGATCTAATTAATTTGTGCATACGTATATAACACGTAATCGAATATATACATATTAAGGAACGATGTGGCGTAACGTGATTGGTAGCTCGGTAACGCACACAGTTCCTTCCATTCTATCCAATAAATTCCTCATGAATTTCTTGCTGTCATTATCATATTTTCAAAATGAATCAATTTTTTTTAATTAACTTATAATTACACCTTTATTTTTTAAAAAGTTAAACCAGAGAGTTTTTATAAAAATCAAATAAATAAAATTGTTTTTAACTTATAAAAAAGTAGTGTATTTTTTTCATTTAATTCAAAAAGTTAATCCATCGAGAAAGCTGTTTTGCATAATTATGCATCGGCAGTGACATTTTCATGTGATATATTCTGTATTATATATGTGCAGTGCATTTATCTTCCTAACTGCACTTCAAGATTGGGTAGCAAGCACTGACTGATATTTGAAACTTTGAGATATTTTGAATGGGAAACAAAGATTCCATTCCAGGTTAACCAATTCAGGCTGAAGCTTGGAGATTTTTCTGTTAGTCCTTATTCAGATCGAATTTACTGAGTATGGAATATTTTAATCTGAAGGAAGTAGTTTATTGAGGGATGGAGAACCATATCATGGTAGCAGGCTTTTCTATAGATATTAAAATCTAGTGACTGAGAAAGAAAGTCATCGTCTTCCATTATTTACTTTAAAGCATGCTTTTTTAAATGATTTGGTTTAACAAATTTTTTCATAGGACAAAAACAAAATCACAAATAACCACACTCTTTGTTTATTGATAAGTATGTTGATCATTTAACTCACATATACTAAATGAAGTAAAAAAGAATTTCCTTAAAATTAAGATGCGTGTTACCTTATTCATGGTTGATGGTGGATGTGTGTTTCTTAATTAGCAAGTGTAGGAGCTTATATAATTAAATGGAGGAAGGCGTGACAGAAAGGCATCATGAATTTAGGTATTAGTCACTTAAAAGGGATAAATCAGTTTGAAATTTGAGGCCTGTTTGTTTAGACACTCGCAGGAGGAGAAAAAGGTAGGTAGCAAAGCATGTAATACACTACAAACGAACAAGTTGCCCGCGGAGATGTCACCTTCTCATAAGTCACCTTCACGTACTAAAACTAAACTTTTGCAAAAAGTGGCTACCAAGTTCATCACAACTTGATTGAAAAAACACGACTGTAATTAAGGTTTAATGGTGACAACTGGATATAATATCTCCCAACTTTTGTACTCAATCTCAAATCCCATATATAAAGTCATGGGTCTTATTGAAATACAACATGTGGTTTAAAATATCCAGTTCTAAGTTTATATAGATATATAGTAAAAAAAGTGGTTAGAGAAAATACTCTATTAAAGACAATTAGATAGATTATTTAGACAAAAATTAGTCATAACTAAATGCTTTACATCAATATCATAGTTATGAAAAGAAAAATCACATATCTTTGATGGTTAGCTTTTGGGAGTTTTAATTAACTTTCAATTTGTTGTGCTGAGTTGTTCACACTATCAGTGGGCCAGGACAGGAGAAGTGAAACCTAGGAAGATAAATGGTGTGTCATGTGTGGGGCGTAACGAGTCACACACATGTCCCACCAAAATGAAAAGAAAAAAAAAACAAAAGTAGAAGATGGCATCAATAATAAATCTTTGTAATGGCATCAATGGTTATAGTCCCTCGTTGAGTAGATGGGAATTGGGATAGATGCGGAAGAGGACCATGTTGGCAAAGGGCATCTAAAACTTTATTTTCTTTCAAACCCATAAAAAAATGCACACATGTGCTACCTTTATGTCACTCTTTTGTCTTATCTTCCCTTTATATATTTACTTTGATTTTGCCCCCATCAAAGTAATGTTTCTTTATTTTCCTTTTGGTATTAAAATGAAGGCGGGTAGAGAATGAGGGGATAGTGGAAATAAAATGAAGCTTGATGAACAAGTAGAAGGGTTGCGTTGCGACTTGCGTGGGTCAGCACTTGGGGTGAATGAATAATGCATGTTACTGAGTGATTCCCTTTGACTAAGGGAAATGATTAATGTGATGGGAATAAATGCTACGAGTACTTGCATGACTTATTAGGCAATGGTTAGTACTTAGGAGCGAACAAAAAGGGAAAAGAAAGGAAAGGGTGTAAGAAAATTAACATTGGGAGCAAACAAGAGAGGAAATTAGAAAACCACGGCTGTGTGGTGGTGGGATGAGATGCTGGTTAAGGTTGGTTGGCTAACATACATGCTTTCCTTTTCATAACTTGTTTGTCAAGTTGGTGATTAAGCATTCTAATTACTCTTGAGACGTGATTGCTTTAAATGCTTTTGATGTGACTTGTCAACTGCATAAATATCATACTTCATTTTGATAAATAATCCTGTTCTAAAGTTTCATATAAAAAAAAATGAATAAAAGGTAAAGTCATAAAAAAGAAAGTGAGAATAGAAACTAACATATGAGAGAAGTGAAAGATTCGATTAAATTTCTTGATATTATATTTGGAATACTGGAAATAGCTCTTATATATGAGAGAAGAGGTGAGTGAGACAATTTAATTAGATAGTTGTAATTAGTAATTGTTTAAATTATTAATTTTTCATCAAATTTTAAATATATAAAATACAATTTTAAAATATATTTTTTAATTTTTCACTTAATTTTACTTCATTAAATAATTAAAAAGTATTTTATTTTATATTTATTTTCTATCAAATCATTTTCTCAACTATTTCTTGTTATTTCTTTCTATCCCTTTCATTAACAAAGTATACAGTAAGAAAATTGAAAAAATACCAAAAAATTTTTTGGTGAAAATCACGTAAAAAAATTCAAATATAATTATATTTTGAGAAAAAGAAAAAAAAATTGTAGACTCATTAGATAATTAATTTTTTTAAAGTCTATAAACATGATTCATATAGTATTTCAAACAACTAATATACACTTAATAAATATAATTTCTACTGATTAAACATTATTTTTTATTTATTTATATAAATGCATCATTAGAAATAAAAATAGTTTACCATATTTATGTCTTTACACACACACACACATATATATATATATATATATATATATATATATATATATATATATATATT